CCAACAGAAAGTAAGTATCATAAATCTTTAAAATGTCAATGTGGTGGGACAGTTAACAGAAGATGGGAAAGGGAAATGTAGGGTGGTAATTTCTTCATAAATAGTAGGGAGAGTAAAGAAATACTATCTACAATTGATGGATCAAAAAATAGAGGTTTAAGTATATCGTTTAATTTAATTTTTAATTTTTTAACATTTATTCATTTTTTTGAGAGACAGAGAGAGACAGGGCATGAGTGGGGGAGGGGCAGAGAGAGAGGGAGACACAGGATCTGAAGCAGGGTCCAGGCTCTGAACTGACAGCACAGAGCCCGATGTGGGGCTTGAACTCACGGATCATGAAATCATGACCTGAGCCAAAGTCAGATGCTTAACTGGCTGAGCCACTCAGGCGCCCCAGTATAGTGTTTAATTTTAAAAGTAAGTAATAGCAGGACTAAAGAGAAAAATATAACAAAAAATGAGAGGTAGTTAAGTTAATAAAGCTGATAAATTAATAAACAGATATAAAAATATTATTTATAGTTGAGACATTATGAAAACTAAAAAAAAAAGTCAAAAGTACTTTTGAGCACAAGATGGGAAGATAAAATTTTACTTTTCACTTCTATCTTCCTGTATTGTTTAAATTAATCTTCCATGCATGTTTTACATTTATAATAAAAAAACTGATACTAGTGCCTTACTTAGTGTATCAAAACAGATGTAGGGCTCAACAATTTAGAAGACAGTAGAGAAAAGGAATCAAAGACTGAAGGTGACGTCTTCGGAATAAAGCCAAAAGGTACAGAATTATATTATATGAAAAAAGAGGGGTAAGAAGTAATTTCAGAAAATCATTTGCAAAACCATGGATAAACCTTGAGGGTATTATGCTAAATGAAAAAGGTCACACAGAGAAAGACAATACTGTATGATCTTACTTAAACGAGTAATCTTAAAAACAAAAACCGAACTTTTGGAAACAAAGAACAGATTGGTGGTTGCCAGAGGGGCGTGTGTGTGTGGGGGGGGATGGGTGAAGGGGATCAAAAAGCACAAACTTCCAGTTACAAGACAAGTAAGTTCTGGGGATGTAATGTACAGCATGGTGACTACAGCAAACGAAACTATTGCATATGTGAAAGTTGGTAAGAGATCTTAATAGTTCTCATCACAAGAAAAAAAACCTGTAACTATGTGAGATGGTCGTTGTGTCAAGTAAACTTATTGTGGTGATCACTTTGCTATATATCTCATTGCATTGAATACCACAGACTTACACAATGTTATATATCAATTATTTCCAAAAAAGCTGGAAAACACCCAAAATCCGTCTATTCAAAAACATGGCTACCTGTGATGGTAAATAAGCCTTTATCCTAAAAGTAAAGTAAGCCAAGCTGCAGCTATAGCCGAAAGGACTCAGGGTAGCAATAAAGGAAAACGTCCTGTTCTAGGAGCTTAGGGTCTTAAGGGAAGACATTTGGAGAATCTCATTCTCCAGGTCTGTCCAAAGTCTGTCATTTAATTTCCTGACATGGGTAGAGTGCTATCAAGAGGCAGGGCTGTGATCTCTAAAGGTCCTATAGAATTTCATTCATAACATACTCACATACTTTATTTCAATAAAAAGCAGGCTATAATTTTTGAAGCTAGTAGAATCTTCTCAAGGACTGCTCTAGAGTATATTAGTTAAAAAGGGAAGGCTTTCCTCTTTTATCATCTGCATATCTTCTATTATATTTTTTAATACCTAACTAAAAAATGAAAGGCACAACAGATCTGGGTTATACCTATAAACATAAAATCATAACCTTTGGTTCCACTCATTCTTAGGGGGTTAACAGGCACCTGCCTTCTTACTCTTAAAATACATTATTTATTTATTAATCTCTAAAACACCTATTGCTGTAGCATATATGTGCTAACATGGAAGGTTAAAAACATAAATTATTTAAATCCACCAACTAATGGACATAAAATATAAAAAAGGGGGGGGAAGATGTCAATGACTTAATACAAAGCTAATGGGAAGGACTTAATGAGTGAATGCCTTTTTGAATCAAGCAAAAACCCATTTGAATAAATATAAAACCATTATAATATGTATCTGTGTCAGCAGTTAGTCAACCAGTTCTTGTCAAAAACTCATACTGTATAACACCTTCAGTAGGGGGACATAAAGAGATGAGGAATCTAATTTATAACACATAAAATGACAGACAAGATGGGTGATGGTAACCAGTGAGATGTGTAAAAGATGGGGAAGCAGAGGGCCTGGCCTGTGAGCTGTATACTCAATGAGCAATGGCTCTGAAAAGATAAATGGGCAGTTGTTCATGGGCCTTGAAGGCCTTCCTATTGTATGGAAAGGGTTCTGGGAGCTTGGAAATAAGGTAATCACTTCATTTCCCTGTTTCCATCATCTAGCTTGGTTTAACCCTCTTTAGTAATGCTTTGAGGTACAATGGAAAGAGCCCTTCATTTTCTCTTTTAGAAGGAGAGGACAATATCCCACAAGGTGTTTTATATTCAGGAAAAAATGAGACAAAATACAGGAAAGTGATGGAATACTAGTTACTGAATAATTGCTAGTTTTCTCATCCAATCGCAGAGATGGCCACAAGATGTGTGCTCCACTGAGAAGTGGCTGCCCAACAGAGCCATACTTCCCAGCCCGACCAGCATCCAATGTGGTAACTGACTACTTCTCCCCGGTGGAATATAAGTGGAAGGGATGGTCACTACACCTAGGCCAAGGCCGTTCAGAAGAGCCACGTATACCTTCTTTCTGTTCTTTCCCCATTTGCCAACCAGATGCAGATGCTGCTGCTGAGGCCCTAGGAGAGGGCAGAGCCACAAGAAGGAACATGCCTGGGTTCTTCAGTCATGTGTGGAGAAGAGCCACCTGACAACCAGAAACACCCCTACTGACTGTTGCATGATTGAGAAATAGCTACTGTGTTAAGGCATTGGAATGTTGAAGCCACTTTTTGTCACAGCAGCAAGTGTTACCTTAACCAATGCAAACATTAAACATGCTCTAAGATAAGTACTATAATAATGACGGTAAGTGTGTCAGACATTGCATCAAACAAGCCATTATTAATGCTATTATGAAATCCTGGCCAGGTAAGTACATGAAAAGACGTTCAACATCATTAGCCACGAGGAAAATGCAAATTGAAACCACCACTTCACTCTCACTAGGATACCATGAACGAGAAGATAGACAGTGACAAGTACTGGCAAGAATGTGAAGAAATTGGAACCTTCCCGTATTGCTGGTGGGAATGCAAAATGGTGCAGCTGTTGTGGAAAAGTCTGGCAGTTCCTCAAAAACTTAAACACAGAGTTAGCATAAAACCCAGCAAGTCTACTGCTAGGAATAGATCCAAAAGGACTGAAAACGTATGTTCACACAAAATCTTGCACAGGAATGTCCCAGCAGAAATACTCATTTTAGCCAAAAAGTGCAAAAAACTCAAATGTTCATCCACTGATGAATGGATAAACAAAATGTGACATATATATTTCCATATGATAGAATATTATTCAGTCAGTAAAAAGGAATGGAATGCTGACACATGCTGCAACACAAAAAATAAGTTTGAAAAAAAATATGTACTAAGTGAAAACAGCTAGAGGAGATCACATACTATTTAATTCCACTTGTATGAAATGTTCAGAATGTGCAAATCCATAGAGACAGAAGGGAGCTTACTAGTGGTGAGGGGCTGTGGGAACTGGAAGGAAATGAAAAGATTACTAATGGGTAGGAGGTGTCCTTTGGCGGGGGGGGATGAAAATGTTTGAAACATTAGATAGTGGGGATGATTGTACAACAGTGTGAATACACTAAAAATCACTAAATTGTGCATTTAAAAGGGTGAATTTTATGGTACGTGAATCATATTTCAATAATAAAAAAAAGAAATCTCAGCTATTTGCTTTACCTTGCCTCCCAGTGAATCTGGCTCTCCACAAAAAGGCACTGAGCTCTTTTTAGGTAATGTTTGGGAAAAGGTATGATTCTAAGATGCTGGAAACATGCTAATTTTGATCTGAGTGAGTTATATGGGTATATACACATGTAAATAATCATTCTAGTCATGATCTCAGGCCAGTCAGAACCCACATAATCCTTCCTCCTAGCTTCCCCTACAACAACGTAAATGCAAACAGAGGCTCAATGCCATATACATTAAATAACTAGAGACCTACATATCAAGCTTTCTTTGGTTTAGGTAACAGTGTAGCTAACACTGAGATGAGATAAATATTTAAAGCTAACCTTGAGAATCATATGTGGCTGGAAAATGGAGTCCCAGAATAACTACTAAAGTGTGTATCACATCAGCAAAATTCTCAAAGGAAGAAACAAGTTCTAAAGAGGTAGTATGCAGTGATGGGGGCAGGGACACAAGAGAGGATTGCATATGGAAATCCTTCTTTTCCCTGCTCAGGTACATGCCATTTTCTTTTTTTAATTTTTATTTATTTTATTTATTTTTAGATTATTATTATTATTATTATTATTTTTAAAGGGAGAGCAAGAGAGTGTGAGATGGGGAGAGGGGGAAAGGAGGAGGGAGGAAGGGAGGGGGAGAGAGAGAGAGAGAGAGAGAGAGAGGGAGAGAGAGAGAGAGAGAGAGAGAGGGAGAAAGAGAGAATACGAAGCAGACTCCACAGGGCTTGACCCCACGACTGACCCTGGGATCGTGACCCAAGCCGAAATCAAGAGTTGGACGCTCAACCAACTGAGCCACCCTAGCACCCCTACATGTCACTTTCAAGAGTCAAGTTCAAACCACAAAATAAGGAAAGTTTGTTTGAGCATATAAATTCTCACCGAAGTACTTAATAGTCAAAATTGAAATGAAGGATCATTAGGATGTTTTCAATCTCCAAATAAGAACGTAACTTGGTGATTCCACAAATCTTCATTAGAAACTTCTGAATCCATCAGATAAGACTCTTTTAACTTGTAATAAATTCTGGGAAATGATGTAACTTACTTGCAAGAGACTTTAGTTCTGTCGGCCACCATGGTCCATTGTTGCTGGTTGGTGGAAACCTCAACGTAGTAGCTATAGCTTCGATCATCACAGTCCCAAAGTAATAACCTGAACAAAGAAAAATACGTTAAGAATGCTGTGAATGTTCTAACTGGCTGTTTCCTGAGGCTGTGGGCATGAGTGAATCCATGTCTGCCGTACCCCTCCTCCCTGCCTCCTTTGCCCCACCACGCTTCCAGGACTGGAAAAAGGAAGAGAATCCCAGCAAAAGTATGGTAGGAGGAGGTGGAGTCAGTCTGAAGAAGAAGCAGTGTCTCTTTAGGAATTTATTTCACAAGTCACCCAATCTCAGGCAGCCTCTGTCAAAGCTCTTTGGTTGGCTTATGGGTGAGAAGATGGCCCCAAATCCTCCTTCCTGATTCATCTCCAGTTGACTGGGCTGACCAAAAGTGATATCCTTGAGACTCCTGTTCATGGGGAAATCCATGCTTTCTAATTGGTAGTAACTAGTAAGTCCCAATGACCTTAACTATCATGTTTCAAATTCCTTCTCATTCTTAGCAGACTTTTTACATAGCTGTAGTATAATGATCTGATTTGGAGATACAAGCAAACATATTCATTAGTAAAACTTTTTTATTATTTAGAGATTGATTATTTTGGCTCTGTTCTTCTTATCTCCTTTTGAGCCCAGATAAGAACCAAAGCATAGACTATGTAATTTAATTTACATGAAGCTCAAAAGAGACAAAATTCATCCATGGTGACAGGAATCAGAACAGTGATTACCTCTGGGAGAGGTAATGATTGGAAAGGGTATGAAGGAACCTTCCAGGATGCTGGAAATGTGAGGACTCTGACTGAGTGGTAGTTCATGGGTATACACACAGTAAATACTCATTCACACTATATATAAAAGATTTGTGCACTGTATGTGTGTTATTCCTCAATTTAAAACCCACAATAAGAAAAAAGGATCTAAGAATTGCAACACAGGATTAGACTTCGGTCCAGCATTTTGCTTCTGACAGTGCCACCGTGGTGAGGGACGCGAGACCACTGTTTTCTATGATTTCAGCTTCCAAAGTCCTTCCCATACAGGATATCTTACCGTTTTATATTTGGTCATGCATATTTGCTTCCTCCACCAGCTAGAACAGAAAGTGAGCTCCCTAAAGGCAGAGCCTATGTCTTCTTGATCTTTTTATACCCAATACTTGGCACAGTGTCTCAAAGAGCCTATACTCAATGAATGTTTATTTGTTATGACGATTATTATTATCATAATAGTCAACATACCTTTAATGTTCATACTGTGTACCAGGCCCTGTGTTAAGTGCTCTATATAATTTATCTTATTAAATCCTTCCAAAAATCCCCTTAGCAAGCATTATTCTTCTCATCAAATTATATATATTTAATTATATATATATATCATATATATTTAATTTATATATTCCATCTAAATACAAAATATTGAATTTGAGAGAGAAAGAGAGAGTGAGTGCAAGTGAGCCTGACATGGGGCTCAATCCCATGACCTTAGGATCATGACCTGAGCTGAAATCAAGAACTGGATGCTCAACCGACTGAGCCACCCAGGCACCCCTCTCATCAAATTATAGACGGTGAAAGTAAGGCTTAACACTGTTGGGTAACGTGTCTATACTCAGTTAGTGTTGGCAGATACAGGGGGTTCATCAAACCTGGTATCCTGGCCAAAGCCCATTTCTGTCATCCTTCTGCCAAGTGCTTCTTTACTCCCAGTTTATGGACCTGGGTCCCAATTTACAACCTGCCACCTATGACTCTACAAAAGTAGTTCATATTATTTCTCCTTAATCTTGTGATTATAATCAATAAAAACCCTTGAAAAGCTCAGTTTAGTGTCACCTACAATGCTATTATTGGGGATCAGAAATGCCACTGTGTTCCCCTTTCCCCTCACCCTTTGTTCCCTATTTTCAAGTGTAATTTTGTTTGCTATCAATGACTAAACCCACACTACCTAATATTTTGGAATTCATCTTTTAAGCAAAGCAGAAACAGAGTTTGCCTTAATCTACCTGAATATTCCCCTTAATTCACCTGAGTATTTAATCTCTCAAAGTACTCTGAATGAATCAGACAGGATTCTACCCTATTGTTTTTAAGTGTCTAATAATTCTGCTCTTTACCAGTTTGTCTGGTAAGAAAGTGAATCATTTCCCTCATTAGTCATTTCCTTGTATATTATTCTAGTTTCTTAGCACTTTTATGCAGTTAGCTTGTTAATTTACATTTATGTTGAGTAACTTGTAAAAGTGTAATTTTTGTTTCTATGTTTGTCTAGCTCTTGTAAAGATTATAGAAAGACTGTTGATCTTTCTCTTTTTAAAAAATTCTACTCTGAACATATGGGTTCTGTTCATAGTGTATGTTTCATACATGTTCCGGGCTGAAATAACTTATAACTTTGCCAGAGTGGATTAAAAACAAGAAAAAAAAAACCCTTCAAATTAATTAATCATTCTCTTCACTTAACAGCCTTGGTAACAGGCTTTTTGGGAGACAATGTTGAGGTTATTTTCTCAAGGGGATTTTGGATCATTGATGCAGAGCCAGTTTTATGATAATCCCTATCCTTCTGGATAATCATGAGTTAGGGTTTCTACCAGTGTATCCAAATGAAAATAATCAAGCCTTTTGGGATAGAATGTAACTAGATTCCAAAATATTTCATGGAAAAATACTGGGATGTGGGAGATAGGATATGAAGAAGATAAAAAGGAAGACCAGTTATAAGTAAGCATCATAAATGCTCTGGTAGAAATTCTTGGGAGTAATAGGGTATTAAAAGAATTTTTAAGGTTGCACATATTTTGTCCCATAGTAGCTTTTCCTATAAGCCCTCTGACTTGTTTTGAGACAAATGTTTGTTTTAAAAGGAACATCACCTGTGATTCCAGGTATAAACTCATAGACATGATGCAATTTTTCTTGTAACTTGTTTCTTTCGCTTAACGATGTATTATGAATCCCTTTCTTTTGTATCTATCAAATACTCTTCCTCATCACACGTCCTGGCTTCGTGGAATTTCACTGTATGGATGCCCCATAAATTATTTAATCGGTTTCTTATTAGTGGTCATTTAGGTAGGTGACAGTATTACACTGCTAGTAAAACTCTGTGATGAACGTCCTTACACTAAATCTATGACTGTTGCCTGTGAAAGCTTCTGTGGGTGAAGCTGGAGCAGAGCACGTGAGGCCTTGACGCATATTACCAAACAGCTGCACGCTTCTCCCTTTCCCCTAAACAAAAGTCTGAACCAATTTATACTCATACTACCAGCAGTTCATAAGAGACGACTGTTTCTGTGTGTCACTGCTGATAATCATGTATTATCTTTAAAAACACTGCCGATTCGATAGACAAAATCTTTGTCATTAATTTGCAGCCTTTCACTTATCATTGAACTTGAACATTTTACCCATTTTCTACTTACATTTATCCTTTTGTTAATGACTTACACGATGCCCTCTATATTTGACGGATATTAATCTGCTGCCTATCATAGTTGGCATGCTGAAGATATTAATTTTTATTAGCTCACTCTATCGATCTTTACTTCAATAATTTCTCCTGGCCTAAATTCTTTTTTCTGAACAGCAGCCAAATGCACACACTGGTTGAAACATCTCCTTTCTATTCCTCTATTAAGAGTCCCTGGGGGCTGGAAATGGGGGGTCATGGTGACTCATGAGTAGAGAAGGGACACTGATGGATCTCAGGTTATCAAGCCACTTACACTTTGGAATTTTTAAGATAGATTCTAATTCATGTGCCAGGATGCATATTTGCTTGGAATTTCGGCTTAGCCAGGCATGAAAATACCTTTGTTGATTCAACTGAAAAAAGCAAGCACAGTCTAAGGACACTACAGGAAAAATTGGCTCAATCTCTCTTTTTCCACAGAGAGGAATTTTGTTCTAATAAGGCACAATTGAAAAACCCACCAACTCCCTCACTTCTTTCCTTGCCAGCAAAGTCTGTTCCCACGTCTGTGCACCTGCAACAACACAGAGATACTTCTGATTTGTAATCTGCCAAGGAATGTTTGCCCGATGAGCTTGCCCAGGACAGACACACCCCCTCTGACCTTAACTGAGAAGAGTTTCTTAAACATATCCCCCTACATCTACACACCTCCACCCAGACATCAGAAGCTATTTTCAAAAGGGGCTGAATAAAGGAAGCTGCTGGCCAAGATCTATTGATGCAGATCAGGTCTGTACTCAGCTGTTGCCATGAACCCCTCTACCTAATGAGCACTGCATGAGATGCCTGGTGATATTAAACACTGTCTCCTCCATCTTCCCTCAGACTCATTGTGGAGTTTCCCTTAAAAGCAGTGAAGTGCTGGGCTTTTTGTAATTGATTAGCAGATGTGATTTTGCTTACATCTTCCATAAATGCCCTGGCTGGCTGCATACCATTGATTACCGGGGTTCGGTTTACAGCAACTAATTGCTCTCCTTGCTGGTGTTTTGATACAAAATTCAATAGTGAATATGTTTTCAAAACTCCTGTCTTTGCGGCTTGAGTCAGAAGTGACTTGAGGCAAACCCAGTGGACTGAGTTTTCCCTTCTTTAAAATAATTGCTCTCTCATCAGTCTGTGAAGAAAGTTTTCAAATTGTAGCATTCTAATTGGAGAGTCTGCATTATGCATGCGATGACAAACTATGTTGTGCTGAATGGCATTTTTTTCATCCCTTTCTTAAGGGATTAATTCTGTGCCAGATTGTGAACAGTGCTGAGGTTTAAACAGTGGAGATCAACAGCCTCTCCGCTGAACTGGTATCTTTTAGGTCAGAAGCAAGTGTCTGTTTTGCCTGTTTCTAACTGTCCACTGTTCGTGGGAGACTCCACTGGAAGGCCTGGGGTCACCTCTCCTGCTGCTGCCATGTTTCCTTGCTTGGACAAAAGCAGGCAACTTGAGAGAAGAGAACTGCCAAGATATTAGTAACATAATTTATTATCAAACCCATTTCTAATCTCTTGGTCAAAATCAAAGAGAGTCTGACCTCACAGGTTTGGAGACCATTCTTTGTTAAAGATCTTGA